CTTAGCTACGGCAGAATTCATATTGTCATTCCATAAATGCTTCCAACTAGCGTTTGTTTAACAAAAAGCACATGCACAAAATGTAGAAATAATTTTTTTTATTTCGTCTTCTTTATTTTAATGCCTGATTTTGCTTTATTTATATCGAAGTTATAAATTAACAGATAATGACCCCGATATTTTAGACTTCATCACGTTAAACGGCTGGCAACGCCATTTAGCATGCTACGGAGTAAATATTTAGTAATAAGAATATCGAAAACGGCGACCGGCAAGTAATTATTCAGCGATGCTTTATTAGTTCGTTTTGATTTTTTGTTTTGACCTGCATATACTACTACAAATACCGTGCATGTAAAATAGCCTGGACTACACCTGCTAATCTTAATCACTCCTTTTCTATGCGCCGTCAGCACACAAAAAAGACATCACATAAAATCTAAATGAGGGTAAACTCTATTGCTTTTTAGAGCGAAATGACAGTTCTCTTAACAGTTCTGTGTTCATGCTCAATTATACGCATTAAAATATTTACCTCCAACAATTTATAGCTAAAACTATTCCAAATTATTAGTAGAAGGCGCTTTAAATTTGCAACCGATCTAGGGCTTGTAAGTTCACGCTTAAAAATAAATCTTTTAAATTAAGTCTGTGTCATTAATTCCTTCTCATTCTAATGAGGGTTTCTGTCATTACTTAAAAGCATGTTTTCTTTTGAGAGCAAAAAATTTGTTGCTGATGCATGAAAGGATCTGTTATGCCTACACATTGCAATGTGGTGAGTAATTGCTTCCGTGTGTCTTTATCTTCTTACCTTTCCCTAACTGCGGGATATTTACTACTGGGCATTCAAAAGACAACGATCTCCTCAAGTTGATTCCTCAGGGCATTATTGTGGAACACTGTGGTGCAGAATTTGTGGCAGTTGGCTTCACTTTGCGTAGTAAGTAAACCTGAAACACAGCCATTGGGCTTAAATGCCATTTCTTAATATTAGAGCCTCAAAATGTGTAAGCAGCACGAAACACAGCAGCGAGTGGCCCACACTGAAGGGGCACCTGGACGTGCTCTACAAGTTCCTACCAGTTGCAACAGATGGAAAGCACAAGAACTTCCTCTGCTGCCCAGTAGATTAGACAACTGTACTTGTCATTACATTGATGCAATTAACTACAGTTCTTGTCGTTTTACAGATCCAGGGAATAATTGGCACCGGCATAGAGGCACGTGAGAGTTTGTTCGTAAAACATCCTGGAACAAGGTGGAATTCCCTACCAATAATTGCGAAGATAACACTGAATGATTGTTGGTGGTATTTACTATGTTAACTTTGAGAAATAATATATTATTTACGTTTATTGCGATCGCTAGGATGTGAATCGTAGGTCGATCCAGACCAGATAAGGCTGTTAGATTTGACCTGTGCTGTGTGCCAAGTACTCATTGCACAGAAGGTCGCTGTTCATCCCCGCAGAGTCCACTAGCTGGCCATCAGGGTAGGGAGCACCGGTCTCTGGCTCCTTGTAGTTCGACGCCACGTTAGGTGAGGCTGCGCCTACACCTGCTAAAATGATGAAAGCAGCACCATCTTTATAAAGCACTACTTTTATACAGCCACAATCCATCACGACAATCCTTTAAGTGCTGGAAGGGGCTGGTTTGGTAAAAGGTGGCAGTGCCTCAAAAGTACATTGAGCTGCGACTGATTTTACAGGAAAGCGAATTCTCGTGTTGTGGAAATGCAAGAACTCCCCTGAAACCAAATCCTACTTATTAATTTGGAGCAAGCACTTACAAGACAGATGATAGGAATCACCAACAAATCCAGGCAAAGCTTTTAGTGTTTGAATCTACTTGTCTGCGAAAAATGCTTGTCCGTCAACAGAGAATTTGATAAATTTATGAATAGCACGACAACCAAATAGGATATGGATTTAAAACTGAATACCTTAACAAGTAATGCAGCAGCATGAAAAGGGGACAGTTACATTTGTGACTGCCTTGGCAGCGAAACAGTCGTATATTTCACCGAGAGCAACTTCACAGAGGCAAAGGCAGCTCCATGAGGCCCTGATGAGGTCAAGCACTAACTCTAGCGGATTTGCTCGCAATGAGAGAGAAGGCAAGATGGGAGGCGTAATTCGTGGACCTTGTGCTCTACCAAGCAAAAAAGGTAAAGCGGTGCACATTAGTGAAAAAATAGATATTTGAGAGGGAGCGGTGGAAAGCAGTTACAGAAAGCCTGCCAAATTTGCACAACCAGAAACGTGCCAGAGCATCATGCGACTTGCCTCACACAAGACCTACAGTAAACGAGAAAAAGCTCCCATGTCCATCGGTTTCACCACTGAAGGAATAGAAAAGAGAATGAAGCAATTCCCTATTCCTAAATCTCATTCAGTATTTGCCGTCACGGTCCCACTCTATACTGCCATAAGGAGAAACTGCCTTGCTGAAACAATGCAGAACACTGCCAGAGAGGACACAATGCCAGGTCATGAGGCACTAGTAGAGTGAAAAACCAAGGCCCGCATATTCCCCTTCTTCTCCTTTCAATCCCTTGTCGCCATGATGTACAAAAGAAATGCATTACAAATATACCATACGTTCTGAAGCCTAGTATTTCGGTAATGCAGAAAAGAAAGAGACGAAACCGTACATATTTGCTTCTACCTCCCACCGAGCACCTGGCAACAAGGATTCACCCTACGCAAAAAGCAATGCAGTTAAAATGGATTGCAGAAAGAAACAACAAAGCTTAAAGGGCGTTATTGAGCTAAAATTGTGAAGAAAACAATAAGAATAATAATTGGATAGCAAAACTCCAAAGCAAAAGCAATTGCAGTTGGAAGATGGAGTTGAGACGAACAAACGTGTCGGAATTAAAGGTCAGCAAAGTCACAGTACAGAAAACATGGAAATAGACGAAATAAACTAAGAGAGGAAAGAGACCAAATGGCGGTATATGTAAGCACCAGTGAGAGAATTAGATCACTCCGCTCTTTCCTGTTTCACTCTACCTCACACGCTGCCGCCGCCATGGCTTCCCATCACACTTGCAGCAACGCAAAAGCAGCATCGCAACAATTATCAGATTGATAGCAAACCGGTGTCTTAGTTAAGCCGTCTATGATAACCATCTTTCAGATCTTGCATTTACTTATTCTAGAGAGTTCCTCTAAATTCAAAGGGCTTCGAACCTGAATGTTCCCCTCACCGATACCAAAGATGGTAATACCTCAGCTTAAAACGTGTCCCCTTCGCTCACACACTTCGTTCACTTCGACCAACAAGGAAATAAATATTTCTCCCCACGAGTCCGCTCAACCTTGCATATTTCTCTGCGTTTTGAATGGAAGTTAATAAATGTGTACAAAATTATGTACCAACGAAAAAATTAATGATACAAAATTACCGCGATGTTATCACAGTTTAGAAAGGGTGAGTTAGTGAACAGGAATGGAGAGGGTGAGGGGTGTAGGCAGTCATGCGCTGTTCCTCTTCGGATCGCTGTTGGAAGAAAGGAAATGATCATTCCAGTGCTTCATGTTACAGGCTTACAGACTGTACCATAAGCACTAGGCAGTGTTCAAAGGTGCGAAATCACTATTTCATCAATTCAAACTTGCAAATTTTTGCAAAAAATGGAAGTGACTACACTAAATAATATAGACGACACTCAAGACTTTGGTACGGAAGCCGGGTAGGTAGGCACACGCAAATCCAGGGCAGGCGCGTAGACCCCTGCGTTAGCTAAATTTGGTGGTAGTGACGGCGGTGGCAACAGAACACCGTGTACCTTGTCAACTACCGATGGTGATTGCTTGCGGCGATGCAGGAGACAACGGAATTAGGCCGGTAATCCAACGCCCAATATCACCAAACAGGTGCCGAAGAGAGATCCAACTATCGTAGCCCATAAGAGAGTCGCTACAACTGCTAACGAGGCATCGAGCTGAAACTTTCATTCTTATGGCCGCCGTATAGTAAATAAATGAACGTAGCAACAGAAAAAAGTCTTCACCCACCACTGTGTTCTACTGCTAAGAAATGTCTGACCATTGGCGCATTTCCCTTCATTCGATCTACCTTCCTGCTTTTAAAACATAGGCGTCACACATATGTGACTCTTGAGCTCAAGCAAAAATCGTGTTAAAATAGCAATGGTGGAAGTGGGAAGTTATGATCAACAGAAAACGGCAAACAAAACCTTCCCCTGTCTACATTCAGCCACGTATCCTCTGATCCAGAAGCCTGAAACACGAAGAGACCTGTTAGTGCGGCTACATCATTCGAATGCAGCATTTGTGGTAACTTTTCACAGATCAAGAATTCGCGCATCCAAAAGCGAATGCACTGTAATAATCTTGCGCAGTTCCACCAAGGACTGAATTATGCAAACTGTATGTTCACATGTACAAAAGCACATTCTGTAGGGTGGAAAACCACCACTCCTGCAGTCGCCAATAACAGTTCGTCTGTTGCGATCGTCATCAAGACTTCGACATCATTTAAATGATGCACCAATGCAGGATTACGTGTCATATTGCCGTACTGTGCCTGCTGTAGATACCCACGGGATCAGATTTGATGCCTTCGTTGCCTGCCATCTTGATTAGGAGCATCATTTGAAATCTTGGAGAATTCATGTACACGGTACAAACTGAGGTCCCACCACTTACCCATGGCATCATTGCTGCTAATGTTGGTAACTGTAGCAGCATATCTTATATTACATTCGCATTGGTCGACATCTACAAAGATTATTCATGTAGGCACCCCAGTGAGGTCAAGTAGACCACTTTGTGTGAAAACACCTGACGTATATACTAAGGGGAAAGACCAATTACTTGTTCTATTAACCTACAAGTGAATAAAATGTGATTAAAGGTACCAGGGGCTAAGAACTAAGGTAAGCAGTCTGCAGCCGAGGGCAGCAGAAGCAAGTGGAAAGGGAGTTAATTGACAGTACACCTCATGCATAACTCAAAAGGACCAGAGACTTTCAATGTACGCAAAAGACGTACAACCATTCCCTCAAGACACCTTATCTCCATGAGATAAGATATGTTAT